AGGCCCGGCCGCCGGCACCGTGGTCTGGACCGCCGGCCTGGGAGGGGAGCAGCTGTGTTGGGTGCAGCGCGGGTGCATTCATGCTGTGCTCTCGTTCCCAGAGGGCGTCTGTGAGATCTGGCTGACCAGCGAGGACACCGGGGCCTACGGCAGAGACGTCGGCACCGACCTCCCCACGCTGCTGTGGAGACTGGTGGCCGTGATCCCCGAGGGGGCGATGCTGAGGCTCGGCATGACGAACCCCCCCTACATCCTCGAGCACCTGGAGGTAAGGGCGGCTCCGGCCACTGCGGACCCAGACGGGAACCTCCGTGGAAAACCACGGCCACAGGGTTCAGAGTCTCAGGTTCCCCAGAATCACCGAGACTTCGGGGAACCATTCTCTCAGTGAACACTTGGTTTTTTCACTCCCTCGCCGTTAATTAATGTGGCCGCACATTTGAAACCCTCACCCCTGTGTGCAGTTCATTGCCTCTTCCTGTAGCCTTTCCGTGTTCCAGCCCCGGATGCCGCGTTTGAACCCTGGCCTCGTTCAGAACCGCCAACGTGCCGAGTCAGTCTAGCCAGCTGGTGAGGAGAGGTGCCCTGAGTTAGGGGCTGAGCTCTCCGTCTCACCCCTTCGTCGGGGATACCGGGAAGAGGAGTGGAGGGGCGACACAGGAGGTCGCTACTCCTGCCCGCCATTCGCCCGTGATCGCTGTGAGCGAGGGTGATCTGAGTGCTCCAGCTGCGTTTTTATACCTTCATGGATCGGACGCACACCCTCCAGTAGCTTAGTGTCATACTAGGCCAAGGGACATGCGCCCGAGTAACCGTGGCACCTGATGGCCACCCCGTGGTAATGGGAGCAAAGAATCTGGTTGAGGGAGCAGCCGTTTGAATGGAAAAGTATGAGTCACTTCCGTGACAGCTAGCTGAGAAATAGCAGTATTAACGGGACCAGCAGATAGCGTAATGGTTACGTCGCTGGACTCCCACATGGCCAACCACAGTTCGAGTCCTGGATCTGGAGAAACTCATGCTGGACACGTGTGTGTATGTGCCAAAATCCCGAGAGGAAAATGGAGGAGAAGGGACTGCAGTATGGCCAACTCTCCCGGGGGCGGGAGGGGGGCGGTGATCTCTCACTTTCTGTCTCTCTCACTCTCTGATGAGCACACATATAGCAAAAAAAACACTGTCTGAAAATAAATATTTTTTAAAAAGAAATAATTGCCTTAGACCCAATGTTACGGACATGGAATCTGGTAAGTGCTGTTGGAAAGTCATGTGTAAAGTACAGAAACAAGTCACTTTTTCTGTATTTTTTTTTTTTTTTAATTTTGCAAGAAGGCATGTATACTTGCCAGAGAGAGGGAGAAAGCACCCCCATGGGCACGGTCACTCCGTGCTTCCTCCTTCTCGGTCTCCCCTCCTTTTGGGATTTTGGGCACGCACATACATGTGCCTGGCATGTTTTTCAAGCCGCCAGGTCTAGGACGTGAACTACCCCGTCGGTCATGTGGGATCTGCCTCCCTTAATCTCTGGGCCGCAGGTGGCAAGTCACTTTCATTGTTAATCAGGTGTGTTTCCCACAGTATGTTTGTGCAGAAAATTTAATTCCAGAAAGCTAACAGCAAGTACTGTTGCAAATTTGAAGGCATAAGTGCCTGAAGATTTGGAAGATTGTTTCTGTTGGTTTAAGGACTATACTTGTTGAGGCTTATGTCGAAAACCCCCTTCAGATCAGCAAGATGTTTTAGCAGTTTTGAGAGCGGGGCTGAAAACCATCTGATGATTAGTTATAAACGTATAGTGACGTTGTTCAGCAGTTGCAGTTTTGTTATCCGCATTTTCCAAGCTCGGTCTTCCTAGTAAGAGTACCTGCTATACATGTAACACGGTACTGAGGTATTGTGGGATTCTGATTTGCTGTTTATAAATCAATCACATTGGGGGGGGGTCATGCTACAATCTTTACTCCTCCATTTCTCCATCCTGACGGGATTTGGGTCATGCACACACATGTAGCCAGGGTGTTTTTCAAGTAACCGGGGCTGAGAGTGGAACTGCATTTGGCTGTGCGAGATCTAGCTCCCATCCCCACTAGGCCATGGGGTTGGCCCTCTAGCAGTTCTTTCTTATTCTTAAACTCTTTTATTAACTTTTTTTTTTCTTAATTGAATGGCCTGAAAAGAATATTACTTAAAAGAAAACATCAAAATTTCTTATTACTTAAAAGTATGGTGTGGAAGCAGATCTGTTAATACATTTGCTGGCACTGTGAGAGTAGGCGATCGTATTGCTTCACATGGGATGCGCTTTTAGGGTTCTGTCAGGAGTGCTGCCCTCAGCCTGGTCCTTTATGTAACAGATATTGATTAGTAATAGTAACAGTGGTGACGGGAAACTCAGTGCAGACCCTCGGGTGCTCCTTCTTTTGAAGAAACCATGCCGATTGCTTTACACATGGGATCTCCTTTCCTTCTTACCACAAGCTAGCCTTGTAGGGATTGCCTTCCCCTTTGCGTTGACCACGAAGCCGGTGTGGGAAAGTTGCACTGGCTAGGCCTCGTGGCTGCTCAGCCCCACTGGCTGTCCTCGGGCCTGGCTCTACTGTGCTTTCTGCTCCGCTTGCACCTTCAGCCCGTTTCTGTTGACACTCGCCATGGTGCACCATGGCTGCTTCCTATAAATCCACCGCGCCCGCAGGGAGACCTCACCCTCGCCCTTGCACGTCGGTCCTGTGGCCACATGCCCCTCATGCGTGAACGCCAAACGCTGGGCCAGTGCTCAGTGGCGCGCTAGCTGTCCCCGGGCTGCGTCCTCACATGGGAGGTGTCCCAGCATACGTGCAGAGCACCTGGTTTGGCACAGTGTGGGGCTGGCCCTGTTTTAGTCCATTCTGTGGTTAGTAATGGGAGGTACCTGACCCTGGGTGATGGAGAGTCTAGGTTTACCAGCTCCTGAGCGGGAGGTGCAGAGCCCTCCAGCGGGGTTCTCCCGTGCGTCGTGATGTGGGGGCTGCAGGAGAGCGCCCTCTGTTGACTCTTTTCCGTGCCCGTTTCACTCATCGTCCACCAGGGGGCAGTCGTGGGGGCTCCACCCTCAAGGTCTTCACTTCACCCCGAAAACCCCACCTTTCCACACCATGATTGGGTCAAGTTTCTATTTGCTTTAGAGCACATGTACTTGCTGGAGAGAGGCAGGAAGAGAGACAGGGAAAGTGAGAAGACAGCTAATTGAGAGATGGCCATACCTCAGTCCCTTCTCCTCCATTCTCCTCTCCGGATTTTGGGGCACACATGCCCACAAATCAACGTGTTTTTCGGGTCCAGGACTTGAACCGCAATTGGCCATATGGGATCCAACCACCTTAACCACCATGCCACTAGCTGGCCCTTTACTCTCTTCGTCTCATTACAGTGGCTCAGCACGAGAATTTTCGGGAACACTGCAAACTGTATCACGCCCGTACGTTGCTCACGTATGCGTCACACTTCTAAGAAGATCTGTGTGGAGTTAGGGGAAGATTGCACTGAGGGGTACCTTTTATTTGTTCACCTTGCGAACGAGAGAGAGAGAGAGAGAGAGAGAGAGAGAGAGAGAGAGGGAGGGCGCGCATCTCCCTAGGAGGATGGCCACACGCAATCGCGTCTCCCCGTTCTCCTCTCAGGATTTCGGGCATGTCTCAATCTTCGGAGTCCAGGACTCAAACTGCAGTCGACCATGTGGGATTCAGCAGCTTCAACCGCCACGCCACTGGCTGGCCCATCCTGCTTTGTATAATCTCCATTAGAGACGTCAACACTGGATAGTTGAGGAGGAAATGAAAGTTAGATACTTCGTCTGGGTTTTAGTTTTATGCATTGCCTGGTAAGAAAATGACATTAAAGCACTGAGCAGTGAGAAAAATGGAAATATCTGTGGATTTTATTTATTTAAGTGATCTTGGTCTTGTCTGTTATGAATAATTTTTTAAAATAACCATAAACTCCCTTGAAGAGACTTGTTTGTCTCAAAATTGTATCAGAACTTTAGTTCTTCCCTTCTAGCCAGCTCCAGAGGGAGAGAGTTGATTAATCTTAGAAGGCAACTGCTTCTTGCTAAGTACTAGATTTACGTTCTAATTATAAATTAAGGGAATTGTGTATTGCCAAATTCGTATTACTTTGTAAAACATTGCTGAAAAATATTGACACCAATGTTCACATTGACATACTACTTTTAATTTAGCTCTCATTAAGCGTATAGCGTTCATATTTGCATCTAGTATCTGCATGTTCTATATCATGTCAGGCTCATCACAAACAGTGGTATTTTAAATATCACATTTGTTTGGAGTTTGGAGATCTTTTAATCCTTACAGCAAATAAGCTTCCTGCTCCCCTTGATTTTTGTAAATTCACTTCTAGTTCAACGACTTTATACTCACACCCAATTGTATATGTAACAGGATAAATGTATCTGGTGAAAGACAGCAGAGATATTTCAAGGATTTTTATTGCACGGTCATTTATGAGCATTAATAATGCGTTCGGCTTGGCAGACTTTTCAAAATGCCTCATAGTTTTAAAGTAGAAGCAAACACACAGTCTGCTGTGCTGGGGTCTCATCAAAGCAATCCGGAATTTCCAAACTGAACTCAGCAGTTCAGACAGGGTCTTTACGTTGTTTTATTTTCTTAGGGTTTACACTTTACAAAACAATAGAAAACTATGAAAATAAATTCTGGGCCGTGACGTGCAATGTACTTCCCCTTCTTGATGAATAAAAGGGCCCGCTAGATGATGTTTTAATATTTTGTAGCAAGGAAGTGGAAAGGAAGAACACCCTGTATTGCTGCCGTCCACATACAGCTTTTGAGACCTGTCAGCGTGTGGTTTGGTCTATGGGCACACGCTGAATCGTTATTTACGACCTCCAGTGCTCCATTCCCCTCTTATGCTGGCTTTCATGAGCACGTTTCAGGGGGCCAGCGAAGCCCCTGAAGCTGGAAACAACTTTGTGCCTATCTGAAAATCGGGGAGGAGGGGCTTTCCCCGGATATGAAACAGGTTCATGTTCACTGAGTGGTCAGTCATCAGGCCTCAGTGGGAGCTTCATTCTGAGACCTGGCAGCAGCCCCTCTGCAATGAGGACCGTTGTGGAAAGGGTGGCCCAGTCCCGCATGCTGAGCGAGTGACCGACTGACCAGAAGCAATGCCCGCTGCTGTTCCGAGCAGGGCTGCAGGTCCACCCGGCACCCCACCCCTTTGGTGGGGCTCAGCCTCTTCGCTCGTCTGATA